ATAGGCTGCCTGATTTAAATACCTTTATTTAACCTGATATCCGTTAACTTAGTATGACATCTAATAACTTGGCATTATATCCGTTAACTCGGCATTGTATCCCTTAACTTGGCATGGTATCCGTTAATTTCAATTGCTACCCATAACTGAATGTAATTTGGGGGTTGGGGGGGGCTGCGTTCAGGTTGAAGCATAAGGAAAAAAAATGAGGGTAGGGTAAAACCTGGGAGAAAAGAAACAACACAACTGTTTTCACATCCATAATTGACTGTCATGGGGAAGTTTGGATAATTATAGGTGAAATCAAGTAGTTACTTGACTGGGGTTTAAAATGCAGAGAAAACCCCCACCATAGAAGCAGAGTACAAAGTCATGGGTTTAAGACAAATAGAAAACCTGAACCACAGAAGCAGGGTGCAAAACAACACACACACTCACACCCCACCTTTGTCATCACATTAGACCAACGCTAAGTGCAGTCTCTCAGTTCACAATATTGAAAAACACTGGATCTGGTAAATTAAAGTTTTGACATCAACACCCCCCCCCCCCCCCCCCCCCCCCCCCTATCCTCTTCTGTCTTGAATATTTTCTTGTTTTAATTTTATTCTCCAAAATGTTTAGTCCAGTGTGTGACTTAAACATTTTAAAGCTTTAAGTTTGAAAGGTAAAATGTTCAATTGAAACACAAGGACATTTGAGAGGACTAGTACAGAGGTCATTCTCTCTGACCTTTATAAATGATGTTTGTAAGATGTTCAGATGTGTGTGACAAAAGGCAATTATAAAACCTTCCATCATGACTGCGTGCGGGACATCTGACTGTTATTATTCTATTTCAATTCTTCTCACATAGTCCAATGTTTTTTGTTTCACTGGTGCCAGGAATACGCTGCTTATGTTTTACCATTCAGTCCAGTACATATACAGTGGAACCCCTCATAACGCTGTCATGGCATACTTATCTTCGTACCGGTGCTTAAAAAAAGTGTCAATGCTATTTGCACAGAATATTGTAAAATCCTGCATTTATGCGACCCTGCTTGTAACATCCGATTTTATGGACCCCAAGTTATAGGGAGTTACAGTGTATATTTACATCTGGTTAGACTTTGGTCCTTACCTCTTAAACTTTAAGCACTAGTTCTGCTTCTAGAGCTCAACCAGCCTATCAACTTGACTGTCTTTAAAATAGTTGGATCATTTTATCCTCGTCTAAAGAATCAAGCATAAGATAATGTTAGTGGAACAAAGTGTCTCCAAATTAAAAGGAATGCTGTAGATTAGAAGCAACAGGCAATTAACTTTTGAAATAGTTTCAAATTGTGTGCTTGGGAATCGGGAATTGCATTTTTTTTAAAAACAACTTTTTATCCACACCTTTTGTCTCGGTTACCTGCAAAAGGTAATAACGTGTTCAATCTGACTCTAAAAATACAGTTTGGACATTGATTCTTTTTAAAAATGTAGAATTTGAAAATGATCAGCAGGTGTGTTGTCATAATGGGGAAAGTTAAAAGAAATCTTGTCTCCTATTAATACTATTATATAACAGTTGCCCTTGATTTAGATGTTCTGTTTATAAATCTGCTCAATTGTTTGTTATTCTTATATTTTTACCAGTAGATACTTAGATATATGATAGAGGAGGCATAACCAGTAGTAGATGCAGTAATAATTACTTAAACATTGTAAATTCACCACTTGATGGATGTGTAATAATTATTACTTTAGCATTTTAACATCACCTTTTGACGGATGTATAATAATTATTACTTTAACATTGTAACATCACCTCTTGACAGATGTGTAGTAATTATTACTTTATCATTGTAACATCACCACTTGACTAAAGTAAAGAATGACACACTTCACCGTGTGTACATTTTTCAAGTGTCATAGCTACTGCTACTGCAATACATTTACTGTGCAGATTTTTTTCAAATTGATTTTTGATTTTCATGTGGGAGTCTATCAATGTACCGAGTATATGTAAATAAAAACTGTTGTTATGAAGTTTATTTCATGTAAATATTTGCAGCCAGTTTATTTAAAGTGAAACAGTTTATTAATATGCATTGATGCAGTAGTATTTAAACTTAACTGACATTGTATATAAGAAATCGTTGTGATGTGTTTGACAACATTATAAGCTCCTAATTCATGTGAAGTAAAAATCATGGCTATGTAATGTCTAACTTGATGTGAGAAATAAACAAGTGACTATTGTATAAAATGATTTAAATACGATATTATCTGTCTCTCTAAATATAAACACTCTAAAACTTTGCAGTTTAAAATTATTTTTGTGTGTGGCTGTCTGTGTGAGTTTATCGTAGCTTTTGAACTGATTTTCTTGCCTTACGTTTTAAGTCCATGTGTCTTATAACTAATTTTGACTTTTTAAAAATAAATCTTTGTTTTTTTTTTCCATAATAAAAATGAGAACTAACATGCAAAGCTACAAATCTAAAAAAATGATTTAATAAGTTATTTCCTATTGTTTGTCTTAAGTTGGTATAACAGTTTAATAACTCTATTAAAAAACAGCACATGTGTGATAGTCAATTATCTCTATTTAAAACTCATTACATATGCCTGATAGTGATAGTAATTTATGTCTATTTTATTATTATTTAAAACCACCACATGATCACCACATGTTCTACTGAAGTCCATAATTATTAATATCTCACACATATTTTTTTTTACTTTTAGAATATTGTAAAAAAAATTAAGTTGAACCAAAAGAAGTGTCAAATAAATGACGATGGAATGTTTATTGGAATATGGATGGATGACACACGTTATGATAAAAACTTGGTCATTGTAAAAAACATCAAGATATTCTATACACTTTCAAAGAAACATTAAAAATTAGAAGATGTAACGCTAGACATTATACAACTTATGTACACAAAATTTTAGTGTGTGAAGAAAGTATCAAACACTTTTAGTGTGTGAAGAAGGTATCAAACTTCCTATTTAGTTGCTTATACTATTCCTAAAAATCAATCTATTTAAAAAGCAATTGTGATAAAGAAAGAGAAAATTTAACATAAGTCATGTTTTTAACTGCTCCCTTAAGAGTGAATATAACTGACAAGATTGTTAATTCCATTTTGGTTTTAAAATCAAAGTTATGATATTTACCTGTGTAGTATTAGAGCAAAGTCAAACTTGAACATATCACTGAATCCTAATGTGAACATATTGAACTATTTGAATCCTAATGTGAACATTTCATTGATTCCTTACATGAACATTTCATTGATAAACATTTTATTGAAATTTGTAAACAATAACATCAGCTGCCAAGAAGAGCTACACAGAAAAAAAGTTTGTTACATTGTGAAAACAACCCAAGTCATCTGTGAGAACTCTCACATTTTAAAAGTGTATCAAAATAAACAATACGAAAATAAACACAGTATTAACATTCACCATGTAATATGATAAAATAGAATTTGAAAATGTCTGACTTTGTGCAAGATGAATTGTTGAAAAGATTGACTTTAAACAACAAATATTTAGTGAAGAAAGTACTGACAACTTGATTGATTTCAGTGCTCAATTGAGATAGGAACTGAACATCTCCTGTGTAATGTTTTCGTTCAGGGCAAATACTCAAATTGAAGTGTCATTCACATCCATGTATTGTCAAGATTATCTCCACACTGATGGACACTACTGAAGGCTGCTGGGACTGAGACACTACTGAAGGCTACTGGGAGTGAGACGCTACTGAAGGCTACTGGGACTGAGACACTACTGATGGCTACTGGGACAGACATTACTGAAGGCTACTGGGACTGAGACACTACCAAAGGCTGCTGGGACAGACATTAGTGAAGGCTACTGGGAGTGAGACACTACTGAAGGCTGCTGGGACTGAGACACTACTGAAGGCTGCTGGGACTAAGACACTACTGAATGCTGCTGGGAGTGAGACATTACTGAAAGCTGCTGGTGGTGAGACACTACTGAAGGCTGGTGAGACACTACTGAAGGCTGTTGGGACTGAGACACTACTGAAGGCTGTTGGGACTGAGACACTACTGAAGGCTGCTGGGACTGAGACACCAAGCAGGCACACAGTCAGAATTATATTATTTTAACTCACATGTTCTCACCCTTCTAGGATCTTGATATCCCTTTGATATTTTCACCTCTAAACAAATGGCAAAATTTTTTTAAATTCTGTTACGGCTTGCCCAGTTTTTAGATATAATAAAATTACCTGTTAAATAATTTGTTCATAAATGTTATCCAACTCAAGTGAACCTTTGAAATCAAAGTAACGCCACAAATCATTCAATCAGTTGCACAACTGTTTGTTGGCCTGGAGGCTTTACAACGAAACGAAACTTATCAAAAGTGCGGGGGAAGGATAAACATCACATCTACATTCTGCCTGAATGAAACAAATGGCTTTCAGCTATGTAGGCCAGAAACTTGAATGAACCCATGAAAGTTCAAACAGCAATTCTGTACATAGTTGTGAATGATCATTAAGAATAACGTAAATCATATTACAGAAGCAGCATTAGTCCCAATATTATTCTGAAAGGTGTGTTGACAACCCCCCCCCCCCTCCCCTCTCCCCAGCCAAGCATTCACACTCTGAATAATCATGATTACTATTTTTGATCTGGGGACATAACTTTAGAGAAGTTTGAGGGGGGGGGGGGGGGGTTTTAAGGAGGAGAAAAAAAAAAAAAA